GGTGTTATGCACAAACAATGAATCATGGAACACTTCATCTAAAACTAATGATGTAATGTATGGGGATTAACATAAGAATAAAAAAAAAAAAAGATTGCACTCTCTTGGAAGGGAAGCTGCCGCTTCTGTGACGTGGTCTTTGTTTCTAATAGTTGTGTGACTGTGTCCTAAGTTAACCCAGATTCAAGGTTAGGTCAGTCTCCTACTTCCAAGACACAAGTGGTAAATAATGGGTTTACAAGCAAAAATCTTTCTTTATAGTCTGCTTTCTGACCGTTTGTTTTAAAAAGTTCTACTGCCAACTTCTGTTCTCAGACTTCAGCCACCTAAGAATGATGACCAAGAGGGGTAGAAACTTTGGTCGTGTTATTATGTCCCAGGTTCCAGGGTTGACATTTCTCAGTCTACATAATTATAGGAAAAATGATCCCATAAATGGATATGGAGGAGGCGGACCTTACGATTCTGCAGACCTGAGAAAGGCCATAAATTGAACTCCATGGGAATAATGTCAAATGTTACTGCTGGAGAGTGTCATGGTTAGACTTTACACAAGACAAACCAGATACACTTTGGTAAGCAGAATTGTAAGCGTTTTTCTTTTTCATTTTAAACGCACATTAAATAAATACCTAACATGCAAATATCACACCAATTAGAACAGTTCTTTACACTGAATGGTCATGCTACTATGGAGGCTGTTAGTCAATATGTGCTAAAGGGATCTGTGTGTGTCTTCCTGTCTGTCTGTCAGATCCTCCCATGTAAATAGAAATCTTTATATTGAGCACACATCAATCAATGCATGAGTGCTGTTTACCGACATGGGCAGTTTATCATCAGCCTCTAGGTCGACTCCATTCATTGGCTGCCCCATCCCTGATGCAACATCATAGGAGGCTGCTTCCCAGTGGTGCTTTCCTAGCAGCTCTCAGCACTGACACCTCATTAGAGGGGGTGCCTGAGTGTTTCTTCTTACCACTCTAAGACAGTGGTAGCTACCTGTTCAGCTATTTGTTCAGTGGCATGGCATAGCACTATATTCTTAATGTTCTAGCATTGTATTTTTATTAAGGATACTTTTTTTGTGGATCTTAAAGGAAATTATGAAAGACAATGGAAGCAGGATCATATTTTAAACCATATGTCTTCAGAACCCTCTTTTGTTCTCATTTCCTTTAGTCCTAACTGCCTCACCAATCCCATGTCATTAAAAAAATGTGCTACCAAGACAGAAATTAGTAAATGATTTAACATCTTGTAAGTGTGTACATTCTGAAAAATTCTATTCCTTGATCTTTGAGCATGGGTTGAGATTCTTACTTTTACTCCTATTACAACTGGAGGTAACAGACACGATGAGGTAGCATTGCTAAATAGTTACTGGAAATAAAGTTCCAAATTTCCACAGCACTGTTACTTAAGAGCAATGTGTTCTTAGGCTAGTTACCTAAATTCTCTGAGGTTCCATTTCTTCCACTGTAACATAGGGCTAACTATACCTATATCAAAATACTGATATGAGATGAAATGAGCAAGCATAAGCATGCCAAGCACAGTACTTAGGGTATGGTAGACACTCTTACAACACCTCATTTTGTTCACATTTTTCAATTTGTACCTTGACTTAATCTGAATATTTTTCTAATTATTTCCCAGAATTAAATGTTTCTGACGCATGTAAAATGACCTTTATAACAGTCTGTCATAAAGTATAATAAATATCTATCATCAACAGGATAAAGTACACAAAAATCAGGAAACTACATATTTATGACTGTCACTTAGATATTCTTTGTTTAGATGATGCATTTATTCAGATTATTTTGAGAATGTTTAATCTATAGAGGTAAGAAGAAAAAGAATATGGACCAAAAAAATAATAATAAAAATAGTAACTAAAAAAGCCCATGTTTCAACATTTAGATTGGGATATTTCCATAAGTCAAGTGATCAGAGAAAGTGAAAGTTTTGGAAATATTTCTAATGTTTTTCTGCTCTGAAGTCTACACCACAAAATTTCAACAAAATTTAAAGGATGCCCAAAGTTATCTGGAAGAAGGAACAATGAAAACTGATAAAGATTGTAGTCCTTAATATTCAGAATCAATCATTTTGGATTCTCCTGTTAGGACTAGACAGAATGATTTGTGAAGAATAGAGAAATGCATTTTGTTTTCAGAGTATCATTTCCTTAACTGCATTTACTATACAAATTAAATTAAACTTGGATAATTATATAAAGCCACTTCCTTAACAAAAAGATAAAAGTAAACGCTCTTACAATGAATACATACTTTACTTTGATAGCAGTCAAAACCAGGCAAATTGAGCACAAAGAATAAGTTTTAGAGTATAACTTTGGAGTTTCCTTGTTCTAGCTGTATATTGCGGCCATGTAATTGTTACAGATATCTTCAAAATACATTACCTGATTACTGAAAGCTCTCTTTTGCACAAAAATTTATCATGCTATCATTTGATGTAAAAATAAAAATGAAGCAATAGATTAGTGTTCTAATCACTTGCTGTTACCAGTTATTCCAAATTTTGATTGAGGAGCTGTTCCATAAAGACTCCTACAAATATATAGAGAGGGAAGAGGTGGTTAGGACTACTTCTTTGAAAATCAGGCACAGGAAACAAAACCAAAGTCAGTTAAATTTTAAGATAGATTAGGTAAAGGGGCAAGGGAGAAAAGGTAGAAGCATAGGAAGCTCTTTGGAAAAGGTAGATCTGAGTAGGGAAGCTCTGAAGAAGAGATGTATTATGATGACTGAGGGAGTATCGCAAAAACAGGGAGCAAGGAAATAATAGTACAACTATTTGTATTTTTCTTCTTCTTCTGCTTTTTTCCTTGGACTTCATATAAACATAATACAAAGCCACATTCTTTATTAACATTTTGCATTTGCTCTTTTACTTAGCATTTAGACTATGAAACATAATTTTACTGTTGAAATGGACAAAGAAGCAGATATTATTAAAAGAATTAAAATAATACATCTATGCCAAAACTTCAGCTTACTAAAATAATTTTTATGCAACAAATGCATATTTCAACTGTGCTCATATAGAATTAGTTGAAAAATTCACTTTAGTATTTGAGGTTTGCTACTAAATTATACATTCAGAAAATACGACTCTCTAGCAGCAACACCCAACCTAGAGTATTTTTCTCTCCTTTGCTTTTACCATATTGTTTGTTTCAAACTTGTAGCAAATAAGCATTCAGGCCATGGAAATGAAAATAAGTATCTCTATGGGAAAAAAACATTTTGTCTAAATAATTTTGCCTCTACTTGCACTTGAAAAAACATACACCCATATTTATGTTTGGCCAAAAACTACTAGGATTCCTTTCTTTTTTGTCTTCTCTGTTAGCTGTTTCAGCGATTAGGTTTCATAGTTTTAAAGTATATTTGGAGAAAAAGGCAGTGGTATGATAATGATCAATACGTATATAGAGGCTCAGAAGAAAGGGTGAGGAAATGAAGACATTATAAGAAGAAAAAAAAAGTCTTAGCTCCCCAAAGGAAGAACCTGAGATAGAGACTTTTGGCAAGCAATCTATTGAGAAGTGAGGTAAGGTCAGGAAAGAAAAGGCACAAAGATACTGTTGCAGTCAAATTCTGGTCTTAACCTGCCTGATTCTACCCAGAACTCGGAGCACAAATCATACCACAAAGTTGTCCCACTTTGGGGCAAAGTGGAAGTCTGGCTTTTATACCATCCCATCAGTCAGCCATTGACTGAGGGCAGCACAGAGAGGGTTGGGGTGGGTTAAACTTTACACATTGCTGAGCGATGTGGCTCCCTCTGATGGAGGCCATTTTTCTGAGAATGTGGCAGCTGTGAGCCATTAACAGCCAGAACTCAGAGCAACTGGGGATGGCGTACCAGCCCTATTAAGGATGTCTAGTTTAGTAGCAGCCATCTTGAGCCCTGAATGGAAGGGCTAAGCATGGAAGCCAATGCTAAGAATGGCAAAGGTAAAGATGTCCTGGCCCCTCACAGGATCATGGAGTTGCTGCCCCCATTCTGGGTTGTCTCTCAGAACTGTTTCTTTTTTTAAAAAGTATTCTCTATACCCAATGTGGGGCTCAAACTTACAACCCCAAGATCAAGAGTTGCATGCTCTATGGACTGAGCCAGCCAGGTGCCCCACTCAGAACTGTTTCTGATTTAAGAGGAAAATTCACCTGAGTTTTGCAAGATAATAAAACAAAGACTTGAGCAGGATTAATATAAATGCTTTTTTAGAAATGTTAAGCATAACATTACTTTACATGACATAGACCATCCACTCTGAAGAGATATGTTTTGTTTTTCCTTGGAAAAATAAGACTATGAGACTGTCAGTTCCTGGAGGACAGGTGCTTACATATATTTTCTTTCTATCCCCAGTATCCAAGTCTAGCATCTGGTACACACCCAGTAAATCTGTGATGAATACATGATATTCTAAGTTGAAGTTGACCTGGCAGTCTAATTTCTTAGGTTTTTATAGCTCTTGATTATTTACATTTTTTTTAAAAAAACTTCATTTCCAAAACCAATTTATTGTAAAAGGCAATAAATATAATTATGCTTACTGGATGAACTCCTATCTGGATGAGTTCATATCTAGATGAACTCATCTTGATGTTTTCAAATGTAAAAAAACACAAACCAACATATAGTGACAAGTTTCTTTACATTTGGTCTTCTGATAGTGTACAGTTCTACTGATTTATTTTAAAGCAAGGGTAATTTCTTTCTGAAGAACCCTGAATATGTGATGGGAATGATACTGAATTGAAATAGCACTTTTTAATTCTACCATTATCAGATGCAAAGCCACCAATTAATTCACTTATTGTTTTCTTATTGCCCAGATCTAAATCAAATTTCAATTCAGCAAATGTTCTTTATCCCTATAAGGTTGAGTAGTTTTTCCTGAGCACAACTTCCTTGTAATGCCGACGTTATGAAATCACACTAATCTTTTCTTCTCATTAACCAGGTTTATTAGGTTTTTATTATGTGTAATCTTTATGTTTCAGGGAAAAGTTTCAACCTCCCTTGTTACATAGAAAAAATTCACATGAGTTCAGTAGGGTTTTCTGCTAGCATAAAGATTTTTAGAGAACAAAAGCAGGGGGGAAAGCTACTTGCAATGCTGGGCAGGTTAAGAAATGTTAGGGCAATGCTACATGGATTCCATCTGTCTGCCCTGCCCTGTTTGGGGCAATCCCAACATGAGTCAGAAGTTAAAGTGGGCGAGGATGGCAAAAAGCAAAACTCTTGTTCATGATAGAATTTACAAGAACCATTGTGAAGCCACAAATCATGCTCATTTGTGTTGAAATGGGCCATCACAAGAAGGCTGGTCTGGTGAGGTCATATCACAGCCTTTCCTTGTGATTCATTTACACACACTTTAGTCAATTTAGCTTTGAAAAAGATCTGATTGCAGCATACATTGGATAACTGTATAAATTATGCTCTACATAAGAACACTTTTTAATTTGAAAGAGGGCACTATTAAGTACACTGGGGCAACGGTATGAATTCGAACTTCTCAGGTGAGCTGAAGTCTAAGATCACCCTAAATGCACATTAGTTTGGTGGTGAAGAACAAGAAATGAAAACAATAAACAAGGCAATCCATGCTAAGGTTATAGGAAATGTCAGGAGAAAGGGAATGCCCTGAGTTAGTAATGAAGGAATCTCATCACATGAAGGAGGGCCTGACAGGTTTTGAAGGACAGGTACAGTGCAGAAATCTGGTTGAAATTTGTGACTGTTTTTAGATTTTATATATGAACACATATATGTTTATGTATATTTTCTATTTTACATATTTTGACATATATTCTTAGGTGTGGGAAGGAG